AATAATACTGTTACAGGGTGAGGACTGCTGCCAATGTCACATCAGAAAACAAGAGTAAGAATTTCTGAATGGAAAAAATAATTTGCTCGGTAACCTTTCACCCAAATCTCTCTCTAGCTCTCTCGCTCTCGCTCTCTGTCACACACACACACACACACACACACACACACACACACAGAAGCGAAGTGTTGCAACCAGCTGCTTTTGTATTTTAATACTAGTTCTGTCTCTCAAAACTTCCTGTTTAATTGTGCTTTACAGATTGATGTGTGTATGGATTGTGATAAGAGTTGTATGAGCACCTAATAAAATTATTTTAAGAAAACCACTCCCTGTTTAAGAGGACGGGGGAGCCGACGTGTCTAACTCCGGTGGCCCACAGAAGCCAATATCCACAGCACAATACGGAACCCAACAAGGCAACCACCAGATCATCAGTGCACCTGAGAGCCCTGCAAACTCCTGGAGGACAAGGTGGATTAAAGAGCTAAAACGAATGATAGAAAAACTGTAAAAAGAAACCAAACTAAGGAAATGTCCTCAACTTCATGCTCTGGGAATTCTCTAAGGGATGTGGAGGCCCTCTGATCTCTGAGATCGGATATATGCGCTGGTGCGCGCACGCAGACCTAGGAATTATAATAGAAACTGAAGGTCTGCACTCCATTCCTGCACCTATCAGCACAGAGAGCCTGACCACAGCGTATACACCAATACGTCTATCTTTAAATACACCAACTAGACCAGCTGGGTTAATCTGCGTTTCCAGTGTGACGACTGGACCCTAGAGTGGGAATCTCCTCGCTGTGCTCCCATTCAGCCTGAAGTGAAGTCCACCAGGACCCAGCTCCATCGAAGTCAGATTTCCACCTAGGAGACGGGCTAAGATCTCACTGTCTCCCCCCACCTTCCTTTGTCTAAATGGGAACGCTTATTTGGATTATCTTGCCTCCATCTCGGAAAGGAAAAGGGTGGACACTCTCTCCCCGTAGGTTCACAGTCACCAAACCATGAGTGAGGAGCCAACTGGACCCCACCATTCTGTGCTGGGCTGTGAGCAGCGACAGTCCCTAACTGGACGGGGCTTCAGCTGTCTCTCCTGGGCAGAAAGTGAATGGGCAACTTAGACTTCTACGGGAGGAGGGGTTTGTTTTAGCTTTGTACAAAATTTCACAAATATGCAAAAGTAGAATGGTGTAATGAACACCTATGCACCCGGTACCTGACTCCAACGATGATGAAATGACAGTCGAATGGAATAGATGGAATATGTAGCTCATTGCCTCCAGGAACTGAAGATGGTCCCAGATACCAATCCCATCACTGAATATTTTCATTGATGATTCTATAGAGGGCTCCTGATGAATCACCATCTCATTCACGTAGAGAAAGGAATAATGAAAGCTAATTAAAAGGTTACAGGTGATGGTGACCCCAGGTGATGTTTAAGCTACCTTAGTATCGATGGTGAGCATCCTGATGCTGAAAAAGCTTCACTGCAAGTAGACCAGTGTCCCCTCTTGAAGCCAACAGACTGTCATGCCTTGCATAGCCCCTTGCTGGCTTTTAGGACCACAGATTCTGCATATGGACTAAGAGTTTGAACAGAAGCACTAGAGACATTGTTGGACCAGTTGCCGGGGGTGGCCCATGAGGTCATGACCCTGGGCCTCCAGGTTAAGACACTAAGTCCTATGAAGTTTTTGATTACGCGTGAATCTTGGCAGCTACTTTGTTCTTTTTTGGTCATTTTTATGAGCGTGTGTGTCATATAACTTTTGCAAATTCAGTTTTTTGTGGATGTACAACTTGTTGACATCAATTGCACTGGGTAGCTATGCAGCCCTGGCCTTGATCAATGCCATTTTCCCATTGCCATTGACTCCACTCCCTCACATCCCTGCCCCTGGTGACCACTAATAAACTGTATTCCCTGGTTGAAAAAACCCTCCTCAAATCACCTTAAAAACCAAACAATAGTTTAGCTTAACTAGTAAAAAAGTCTGCCTTGAGCATTGAGCTTTTTTTTTTCTTGATAGAGCTTTGAGGCTTTTTAAGATCTATCTATATGGGATCAAATTGACAACAGCAACTCCAAAGATCAGATAAAAAGAAGAAAAAAGGACTAGCTAGAAACCTGCAGGGGCAGTGGATGCAGAAGGAACGACTCAGAAAAGGGAGCTGCCAACGGCCGAGCACTAGCATCACTGTCACCAAACGGCACGAGCAGAAACAGCTGAACTGATGTATGGTGTGCTCTCTGTACTGTCAACGACGATGAAGTTGACGCAGTCAACCAGGCTTCCCTTACAGCCCAACCCAACTCCTACCATCCCAGTTAAGAGGCAAACCCCAGGCAACATACAGCTTCAGCTATAAACGGTTCAGAATATATCTTGTTTTTTTAACTTTCTGTTGGGAATTAGGTGGGGATTTTTCTTCAGATCATTTTTGCATTCAACAACTTAACTTATCAAGTCTCCCAAGCTTGCCCTGTTTCTTGCTGCACTCCCCTTCAGCCCCGCCCTCTTCCTGCCCATCTCCTTCTGCTAGGATTTGTCTTCCCTTCACCCAAGTTAATGCCTGTCTACCCTCTAGCCTATTCCTTCTCTCCCCTCCCTTGCTCTCCCACCCCATCAAAGTCTGTTTCTCCTGAGATGAAAAACTTTTCTTGATTTTTTTCTTCAGGGCAATGACCTCTTACAATATTAGATACACTAAAAGAGTATATCTATTAAGATGTACAGTGTTGAGCATTTACAAAAATACAGCAAAATAACCAGTTCCCAGGTAAAGCGTCACCCGTACTCCAGAAGCCCTGCAATCCCCACTCCATTCCAAGGTAGGTATTGTCCTAATTTGTCACAAACTTCACTGTAAATGAGATCACACACTATGTACTCTGTCTGGCTTCTTTATAAAAAAGATCTGCTTGCTGTGTCTGTCCTTTCCACTCTCTAGATAGTTCAATGAACCTAAAGCAGTTTGCTTTTTGCATAAACTAACGAAAAACAGTGGCAGTCCAGTTGATTCCTGCTCATAAGGGCCCCGGAGGAGGAGGAGAATTGCCCCGTGGGGTTTCAAGTCTGTAATCTTCAGGGAAGCAGATTATCCTATCTTTCTCCTACAGCATGGCTCGTGGTTTCTTACAGCAACTTTTAAACATGAGTATACCATTATCCAAAAAGACCCAGTGGCACTGTTGGATAAACGTTGGACTGCTAATCTCAAGGTCAGCAGTTCAAGCTGACCGACAGCTCTCTGGAAGAAAGATGAGGCTACCTGCTCCCATAAAGATGTGCATCCTCAGAAACGCACGTGTGGTAACTAGGAGTCAGAATCCGCTCAGTTGGGCTTGGGAGACCATCAGCAGAGAGCCCTGGTAGTGCAGTGGATAAGTGTACAGCTGCTATTTCAAAGGTTAGGCGTTAGAACCCACCAACTGGTGAGGTAGAGATTTACAACCTATGGAGCTCTGTGAGGACACTCTAGTCTGTCCTATAAGGTGTTGGCTCCATGGCAATGGGTTTATTCTAATTTAACACACAGACCCCTTTTGTTTGTCTTTATAGCATTGTCTTTGAATTGGGATCCAAATAAGGCCCTTCCTCAAAAACTCACTGCCATCGAGTCAATGCTGGCTTCCAGTGACCCTGAAGGACAGGGTAGAGCTGCCCCCTGTGAGTGTCTGAGATGATAAACTCTTTACAGGAGTAGAAAACCTCATCTTTCTCTCGTGGAGCCGCTGGTGGTTTCAAACTGCTGACCTTGCAGCTTGCAGCCCAGTGCATAACCACTACCCCACTAGGATTCCTAAATAAGGCCCAGGAAGCATTGATATGCTTAAGTCTTTTAATCAATAGGTATTTCCTCTCCTCCTCTCACTGCACCACCACCACCTTCTCTCCTCTCTCCCTTCTCTCCTGTTTCTCCCTCTCCTCTCTCTGAGGAAGGAGGGAGGTGTCTCCATGCCACTAATTTCCTAAAGTACTGGGGTCATTTGCCCTGTGATCTTGTTCAATGAGTTCCTCTGTCCTTTGAACTTCCTGTACACTGGCACTAAGACTGAAGATTTGGTCAAATACGATTGTGGTTTGGGGGACTGTGGGTTTATTTGTTTTTACAAGACCACACCTTCATCGGAGGTGTTGGACATTTCCATCAGGAGATAGACAATACTTGCTTGTCTCTATTGTTGGCAGGTGATTGCTGATTTGTTCTATTAATCCATTGGGGGTTATAAACTATTCATTTTCTATCACTCCTTCTCCGCTTATTTCCATAAAGAGAAACTTCCCACAACCATTTGGTTACTCTAAGACAGGAGTCCTCAAACTACGACCCACAGGCCATATGCAGCCTGCCAAGGACATTTATCCAGCCTGCCGGGTGTTTTTGCCGCCGCTGCCTGTCCTGCTTAGCAGCCGACTCGTCCCAGGCCCATAGGAATTTGTTCATAGTTTTTTTTTAAACTGTAGTCCGGCCCTCCAACGGTCTGAGGGACAGTGAACTGGCTCCCTATTTTAAAAGTTTGAGGACCCCTGCAAGATATACCGTATAGACCCGAGTGTAAGCTGACCCGAATATCAGCCAAAGCACCTAGTTTTACCACAAAAACTGCATAAGAAACATTTTGGAAAAACTCGGCTTGTACACGAGTATATATATACACACGGTAGTTCCTTTCGGAAAGGCATGATAATGCATCAGAACAAGCCTATGAGGGAGCAACTGTTACCAAATCCATTTTTTCATATGAAAAAATGAGGCGTCTGTATTTGTAACCACCTTCGGAGAGTTCCCCTAAGAACAAGAAACAGGAACACTCAGTACTGTTTTGAGGGGGGGAGGAGGAGGCACAAGAACAAAATCCCTCACATGGTCATGGTGGCTACAATCTTACGATGGAAGGAAACACAGTATTTGTATCCAAAACCTAAACAATGCGCATTATTTTCCGAGCAGCTATTTAAACTAGAAACTTCTTTAAGGGCATCATGCAAAAGGGCTTGTGTGTGACCTGGCACACGTAGGGCATCTCCATTGCTCTACGTGCAGAATAGACAGCAAGAGATTTCTGAATCATAATTTAGTTAACTGGACTGCCACTGATCATTGGTCCCGGTGCCCAAGTTTGGAACTGAGACAAAATAATCTGTAAGCATTTACTGAAAAGGACACCATCCATATGCAGACACGTTTTTACAAGGGTGTTTCCCATGTCGTTGTTTCGAATAGCAAAAACTTAAAATACTGCTGTGAAAAACTGAAGACCTGGAGGGGAGTGGTTGTGGCCTAATCTCTGTCCTTGTAACTCCAGGCTTGAAGACCAGCTCTAGGGTTAGAGAAAGATCTCCACAGTTCCAACATAGAGAAACGCCTTAAAGGTCAAATCACATTCTCCAGACGGAAAGATGTCCCCACAAGAGCCCTCCATAAAAAGGCCACTAAAAGTGCCTGGATGCTCACTGCGTGGTTGGAAACTACCTATTGTGGTAGCTACCTAATTTCCTGCCAACTTGAAGTGCAGGGGTGGAGTCTAGTCTGTCAATCAGGCCACAGCCAGATGGTGCCTCCTTGTGGGAGTGACCTCTTCATAAAGAGAGTCCTGGGAACCTCTTCTCTCTCTGCTTCACCTTTCTGCTCTCAAAGACACCACCACTGGATCCACACAACTCGGCCCCACCAGCCTGTGAGCGCCCTGCTTCTGCATCACTGCATGTGGCTGTGTGAGTCTAGAGGGAGACTTATGGACTAGTATCAGACTTAAGGACTTGATCTGGGCTGGGCTGGGATGTTGTATTGATGCATAATAACCTCTTGATATAAAGCTCTCTCTTACACCAATGAAAACCCCAGGGATCCAACCAGCCCTCAAAATACAAAATGAACACCACAGTGGGCGTGTTCACTCCGAGGGCCGTGGGGATGGTGAGGGAGCATGTTATACCACTGTGCATGGGGTGCCCAGAAGCTGAAGCCGACGTGATGACGACTAAGAAATGTAATCCTGGACAGAGGAAAGCTTGAGACACACGAGAACAGCAAACAGGTGAGGAGTCAAGGTAACATCTGTCCTGGATTCCCAAGCCATTGTATCGTATTGTCTAGTCAAATAACACCATAAAATGTGACTCTCTCCAAAAGGCTGTTCAACTCAGTGGGTGGGCACTATGCCATTCGTCCTGTTGGGGCAAACACCATGTGAACAAAGATCAGTGGCTGACTGGGAGGGCTGGCTGAGGGCAACCAGGTCTGTCTGGGCAGAGGTGTGGGGGTGGGGACAGGGACACTTGCTAAACTGCCTCAACCAAGTCACCACCATGTGACAAAGCCCTGAAGGACAAAGGACTCTGCCCAATGCCGGGAACAACTTGTGTTTCTTTCCAAGAGACCCCAGCAAAAAGTAACAGCAGCGTGTGCGCGCCCTTCACAACCAGAGCAGCTTGAGGTGCCAATGGCTGCCCTTGCTTTCTCCCTCCCAAGGTGGCTGGAAGCCAGTGCTGGGCCTGGGAGGCGGCACGGGGCGGGGGTGGACAAGAGGCGTGTGGGAGTTACAGGTTATTTGCCAAGCCTACTGGACTGCTAGCACATTTAACATCCTCCACTGCTGTGGAGTACAGAGAAAAAAGTATGAAAAATCAGGTACACCAGCGGTCCAATTTTTTCAAGCCGTTTACATATGGTGATTATTTGCAGTGCAAAGTCAGTTGCAGGAGTCATTTAGAGCGTTTCCCAGATGCACTAAAAACTCCTTGTCTCCAAATTGGTGGAGAAAGAGTGGAATATTTAATGTGAAATGTCATTATCTTCAAATCCTAAATGTTTTCCTCTTGTGCACATCAGCGATGAGGTGGGGGTGGAGGTGCCACAGCAGGGTCTCAACTGGGGAGGGAGCAGGGATAACAAACAAACAGTCCCAATACTCGGAATTGCCAACCAGAAAGCTTTTATCCAGGGCAGCCTCACATGCCGCTTGGAGTGAGGCCCAGTCTCCCTGCACCACACAGGCGCTCCTTTTCAGGGATGCCCGGTGGCCACTCCTGGGATGACCTTCACGTGATATAAATCATGCTGCCCAACAAGCAGGAGAGGCGGACCTGATCAACTTTTGCTTAAAATATCATTTCTGCCTGCTGCCACCCCCTTCCATAGAATCTCACATCGACTCTCTGGGAATTCCATCTTTTTAATATTTGTTATTTCAAAACACTCATTTAGCTCTTTAGAGGATTTTATACCCATGTAAGGAAAACAGGTGATTGCTGTGAATTGAACTGTGTCCCCCCAAATTATGTATTGCATACCCTAAACTCTCTGCTCTGGGTGCTAATCCCATTTGGGAATGGGTAATGTTTGCCATATTTGTGAGGCAGCACCCCCACAGATACAATGCATGTGCACAGGTAAAGCGTGGAAGAGAACAAATACGTCAAAAGGTTCTGGCATTCTGTGCTGATGCATATGCCATGACACTTCCACAAAGAATTTTGACCTCCTTCACCCCCATTCCAATAGTCTGAAAATGTTACATTTGATCCTATTGGCACTAAAGGGATACGTCGTAAGGAAGTCGGCTAGTAAGGAAGTCGGCTAGTATCCCGGTCATGGGAAATAACCATGGAGACTGTGTTCCTTCTGGGGGCGTTTGTGGCCAAGCCTGAGAGCAGTGGACTTCCTTATAGCTGATCTGTGCCCAGAGAGGCCACACGGCAGTGGCCCTGCGTGAAGCAAGTGGCAGAGCACTGTAGGTGCAGGCACGCCCTTGATCCAGTCCTGTGGAATCCCCGGGCAGTTAGGTGAACCCATCTCACCCAAGCAAATGGCTCAAGACCCTCAGTTCTCATGCCCACCCTGTGGGAGACTCAAACACCCTAACTCCAAGTCAATAGGCACCAAGGCAGCCTGACCAGCACCCTTTGGACAAGAAAAAGAAATGGAAACTGAAGGCAGCAGCAAGGGAAACGTATAGGGAAAGTGTACCTGTGACAATAACACGCAGAGGCTTGTATACAAAACAATACGGCTGTTTGCACAAACACATTAGTTGATATTTGCCATTATCAAGTTACTTCTCAATGTAAAAGAGTATGTGGGGAGGGAGAGGAGAAGACATCATTTCCTACCTCTCAAGGAGGTATAGCTCTTAACTATAGTATTTCAGTAGTTCACTCTCAGTGTCTATCAGAAATCATTTTTAATTGTTCACTTCTGTCTTGGAATGTATTATGACCAGATGTTACATAATAAGGGAGCCCTGGTGATTCAGTGGGAAATCACTCACGTGCTAACTGAAAGGTCAGTAGTTCAAATTCACCAGCTGCTCCACAGGAAAAAGACGTAGCCATTGAGGCTTCAGTAAAGATTACAGCCTTGGAAACTGCGGTAGTTACTTAATTTCATGTCAGCTTGATCTATAGAAGTGCAGGGTTGGAGTCTAGCCTGTCAATCAGGTCGCAGCCTGATGATAGTGTTCAGTGCACTTGCATTCAGAAAGACTTGCTGAAAGAACTGTTGGCAGACTGTAGCAGGGAGAAGGAGCCATTGACCCTTTTGAATTTTGAACTAGTGGTTTGCTCCTGAAGCTGGAAAAATCTAGAGCCCTGAAGGAACTCTCCTCTCTAGGACTGAATGTTAAAGAGAGCCTGTGGGCAGCCCCAAAAGCTGACGAGCTCTCTATTGCTATGCTTCTCCCATGTCCACCTGGATCCACTTGTGGAATGGACACGGGAGAAACACAGCAATAGAGAGAAGGGTTGAGTCGGGTCACTGATACCCGTGGACCTGCTTCACAGGGACCAGAGAAGACAAGAGCAGGTTGACTGGTCTGAAGTTCATGAACTAGCCCAAAGGGGCTACAGTTGATGAGAATTTGTGACAGGGCCCATGGTCAAAAGGTGAGGTGGCCAATGGGCACCCTGATGAGGCTAAGCACTGTGGCCCACACTGAGTTGACCAGAACCCAACCTGATGAAAATAAGAGGCTTGAGCCTGTGTCATTCGGGCCTGGCCTCCTCATAAGGAGGATTCTGTGATCTTTCTTCTCTTTCTCTCTCTCTCTCTCTCTCTCCTCACTCTCTTCTCTCTCTCTCTCTCCCGGTGAGCCACTCTGAGACCCGCTAGCCCTGTGATGTGGCCACTGCCATTGGATGCGCACAGCTCTGCACATACCCACCCGCCTATGATCTTCCTGCATTCTGTATCACTGCATGTGGCTGTGATCTGAAGAGGGACTTAAGGACTAGTACTGGACTTATGGACTAGTGACCCACAGGGGCAGTTCTACTCTGTTCTATAGGGTCATTGTAAGGTAGACTCTACTTGACAGCAAGGGGTTTGTTTTTCTTTTTTCTTTTTTTTCTTGCTGTTATAAAAGGGAAATAATTGCATAAACAACTGCAATGCTCCTTCCACAGTTAAAGCTTGACTGTGTCTCTGGGTATTGAAAACTCCAGCAAGAGAAGTGAACTGGGAAGACAGATCATAGAAGGCCAAAGCTTTTCTATAAGACTTTCATTAAAACATGAAGAATATCATTAGAGCTGTCCAAACACTTGTAATTTGAAGGTTTAATCACCTTCCAAGAGTGGAAAGTGAACATTAAAGTTTTTTCCTATAAAAGACATGTTAACCTGAACAATAGTGTACATTTGAGTCACTGCAGTATGTGAAGCATATTCAGGTACACTCACTGAATCTACAAAAATGTGCCACAAAGCAGGTGCTGTTACCATTTTATCACCTCCATTTTAGAGAAGGGCAAACTGAGGCTTATGCAAGCGATCTGCTCAAAGTTAAACAGTTGGTTAGGCAGCTCTTAAAAGTCCTGCTCTCAGTCACCTGTCAGTTAAAACTTAAACGATCCTTTTTAAAAGGTGGCACTATTTCCTCTCTGTGCTGTTTCATCTATCTGGAAAGGAAGTCTGAAACAAGTCAGGCACCAATCTAAACAGCACTTCAGTGGCGGCACAGCAAGATCAACTGCACAGAATAGTTCACAAAGACGAGGTTCTACATCCTACTTTGTGACCAGCATCTAGGCCTTAAAAGCTCATGAGCAGTCATCATTAGGCCAATTACTGGCCTCTCTCCATCTGGAGGAAAGAAGAGTGATGAAAACTGAAAGACATAT